AGTAAAAAAAAAAAAAAAAAAGTTAGAGAACAATAGCAGTAGCAAATATTAGTGCGCTAGCTAGTTTGCCAGTTATCGACCATAATATGTCGTAATCGTTTTTTTCGATCCTCTCTTGTGATTTATTTCCCTATTTCGTTGGGAACTGTGATTACATTTTTCTTAGCCAGTTTAGAATTATTGCCGTAACGCGTGAAATGTTTACTAGTTTCACGTTAAATCATGTTCGGCTCAGGTCAATTCATTCAAAAATTTTATACATATATATATACACACGCACATATACACATACTATATACATACATGTATACATATAGATATATATGTATATATGTATGTTTTAATTTTCATTTAAAAAAGATTTAATTTTTCTTCTTTATTATATAAGTAAATAATTATTGTTGTCATTATTATCATCATCATCATTTTCGTTATTATTATTATTATTACTATTATTTTTACCATTATTATTACTACTATCATCATCATCATCATCATTTTATCATCATCTTTACAGTTTTCATTATTTCAATTAATTAAGTAGACCGATACATTCCGAAGGTACTACATTAAAGAGTGAATTCTAATTACATAACTGATATATCTTGTTCAAAGTCTTTGACAACTTGTTTATTGGTTAATGAATAAAAATTTTCAATCTTTCCCCTGCTAACGCGCAATGCTAGTCATCCGATTATTTATGCAGGGTACAATCGGCAACTTTCAATGAATTTGAAAGAGAAATATGAAATTATTGTTGCAGTTTTCTCTGTACTAAACCATTTACACGATTAAATGGTCTTTTTTTATATGATTATGAATAAATTATATTATGTCGTTGGAAATGTGCATTTATTTGCCTTAATTTTTTTCTAAATGATCTTTTGATATTCTTGGTTTACTTTTTTTGCTGTTTTATATTTTTTTTTTTCTAAACTAGTAATAATAGCAAAATATAATAATAAAGGCTGTTTGCATTTTAATTATTTTTATAAAATAAATATACAGATTGTGTATGTGGTATGTACATAAATATGCAATAAGATTGTTATTTTGCATTTTCATTAGCAGCAAATATACATTTTTCTATTTAATAATAATACTAATGCATAAATATTTGATTCGTTGATCACAATATTTCATAACCTACATTAGAAAATTACAAGTTTTATAGATGCTTTTAAATGTCCGCTTATTTATGCGCAATAACTTGTATAAGTTAAATTATCTAAAAAAAAATTTGTTTAGAAGTAAAATTTGGTAGAATAAAGAAAATGAAAAGAATCATAAAAACGTAAAGAAAAATTTTAATGCAGACATATAACATCGTATTATGTGGATAGATTAAAATAAAAAATTAATGCGTTTGACACTTTCATTGTAGATTTTTCATTTAAATACTTATTACTTCATTCTTTCAAACTTGTGTTCAATTTCATAAATTCCAACAGGTTCTTTAATCTTATCACAGTAATCGACCCATTCTCCTTCAGTTAAATCAACATCTGTAAATTCTTTGCCATTGATAGTTTTAGCAATCCAACCTTCCCTTGCCGAAAAGTCACTGGGCTCAATGCCTCGACAATCAAATATAACTATTGTTTGAAATTTGTCTTGATCATTCGCGATAAATGATTTAATGGAATCTTCCAAGATACTCATGGAATTTTCACGAGAACAAAGTTTACATTTACTAATAAAATGATTCACTGCATTTCCTCTTTGAGCTGGAGTGGATTCGTTCAAAGACACATAATTCCATTTTTCTGATGTTTCGCCACAATTGCAGCAAGTGAACTTGAGATACCATCTGAATTCTGCTCCCGATGGTTTTAATTCTCCTATATTTTCTAATGTAGCTTTCATCTGTAATGCTATTTTCACCATTCTAACGAAAATTTTTTTTTTTCTTTAATTTTTTTGTTATGTACTTATATATTTAAATAATATAGTCGTAGAGGTTATGATATGAATGATCAGTTTGCAAATTTAGAGACGACACTACTTTTTTCTAAAATTAATTGCACAAACACGTAGATGTTTTTGCACAAAAAAAACAAGTCGCTTATTTATGATCAGTAGTAACTAGTCACTTTTAAAATATATCGTATATAGCCATAAAAAGTTATAAACAATTGAATTCATGTACTGAAGCAGTAAAATTAAAGTTTGAATCGAACAAGTACAGACAAAGAGAGCAAATAATGGAAAAAGGATAGAGATAGGATAAAAATATTGAAATTAGTGCCATCTTTAGTGTGCCGTAAATGAAAGTAACAGAAAGAAAGAATAAAAAATAATGAGAGATAAAGAATAGGAATTTACTTTTAATGTTATCTCTTGATTTACAAAAATAAAAAAGTAGAGATGGCGCTAAAAATCAGTTTTTATTTTTTTTTCATCTTTATTTTTCTCACATTATTTCTCTTCTTATCTATAATAGTTTCATTTGTGATTCTAGAGATGGCGTTAATTTCTACATTTTTAAGCTATCTCTCTCTTTGTCCCACTATTTATGTATAGTCGTATACATTTGTTGAGGTTACGTGTCGGTGGCAATCGTATAATATAAATTATTAAATATCGAATGAGATAAATAAGCAATGAGACCAACCATTTTTCTATTTTCAACATTTTTTCTTTATATTCTAATTACATATTCTAATGCCGAAGATATTTTAGGTTGTGGTGGATTTTTGAAAAGTCATGCCGATATAGATTTTTCCAAAGTACAAATAAAGTTGTAAGTAATTCATCAATGAATTATAAAATAAATTCATAAAATAAAAAATGTAAATTAATATTTTTAATTTATTTAGATATACGAAAGCTGGTAGTCTTAAAGATTTTACAGAATGTGCCCCTAATAGTGGATATTACTTTCTTCCTTTATATGATAAAGGAGAATACATTCTAAAGGTAATGTAGAATATATATATTATAACAAAATTTCATGTTTATCATTTTATTTGAACAATAGATTTTAGCGAATTTAGAAATTAAGAATAACAAATTTACATTCATTTTTGAATATTATTTTTTTTTAAAACATTTAGGTAGATCCACCCAGAGGATGGAGTTTTGAACCTACAGAAGTTTTATTGAATGTAGATGGAATAACAGATGCCTGTAGTCAGGGTATAGATATTAATTTTACTTTCAAAGGTTTTGGTATCACAGGCAAGGTAATTTATTTAAAATATATTTATTGTAAAAACAAAAATATATGGAACTAAAGTGATCATTTGTAATGTTATTATAAAAATATATTTATATATTTTAGGTTATTAGTCTAGGATCAGATTCTGGTCCTAAAAATATTACAGTTTCATTGTATAAAGAAAATAATGAACAAGTTCCTGTTGATACAACAATTACTATGGAAGGTGGTATATTTTACTTTACTCCAATTCAACCTGGACAATATGTACTTATTGCATCTCATACTATGTGAGTCATCTATTATATTTTGTTTATTAACACATTATATTATATTATGTCTTTGTTACAGATGGATGTTCAAAACAAATACAGTTAGAGTAACGGTACGTGAAGGCAACACAGAACTTCCGGACGATAGTTTAATAATTTTCGGTTATGACGTGAGTGGTCGAGTTACCAGTGAAGAAGAAGCAGTTAGTGGTGTAACATTTGTATTATTTGGAGTAAGTTTTCTTTTTTTTTTTCTTCTTTACCTTTTTAATAATGTTTTCTAATTAACAAATTATTTTTATTCTATATTTTATATTTATTTCGTAGAACGGTGTAGCTAAGAATTGCGCAACAACACCTATAAGCAAAGATCTTGAATCTAGAAAACCTCTTTGTCATGTTGTATCTGACAAAAGCGGTAAATTTGTATTTCCTAGTTTGTCACCTGGCGAATATAATCTTGTTCCATATTATGCTGGGGCTCAAACTAAATTTGATGTTCAACCACCTGAATTGTCATTCAAAGTAAATCATGGCAGTGTCGTATTACGCCAAGGATTTAAAGTAACTGGTTTTACGGTAAACGGTATTGTCCGTACTGCCAGCAATGGCGATCCTTTGCCAGGAGCAAAAATTTTACTTTCTCAAAAGCAAGTTGCCATAACGGATAATCATGGAAAATATGTGTTAGATAATATGAAAGCTGGTCAATATATTCTTAAAGCTGAAAGTGGTATGCCTTATTTGCTTATTATTATATTTTCAGACTAAAATTGAATTCAAATTATTGATTTTATTATTTTTAATATATAGAAGATTTATTATTCAATGATAAATCAGTTAAGATTTCTCCCAGTTCCCCGGAACTTCCAGTTTTAATACCAACAGCATATAAAATTTGCGGCAAAGTTACTTTATCAACAAGAGGAGATTTAAACTATCGAAAAGTATCTATACATAATACGGCCACCACATTTACAAAAGAAATTGAAATAGATTCAAAAACAGGCGAATTTTGTATATATCTTAGTCCTGATACATATCAATTAAGCGTTATTGTAAGCGAAGATGAAAGAGCAAAAGGTTTACAGTAAGTTTGTCATCATTTTGTACATTTTTTAATATATATAATTAATATATTCTAAAATTTAATTCTTTTGAAGTAATGGATTCTAATATTTAATAATTGCATAATAACATTTGATATCATTCTTTTTTTTAAGATTTTTCCCACTACAACAAACAATCGAAGTATCATCTCGATCGGTGCATAATATTAACTTTTTACAGTTAAAAGCTACATTAATAGGAACAGTAAAATGTTTACCGGAAACCGATTGCAGTCAAGCTTCTGTGACGTTAAAGGTACTTGACGGTATTACAATAAAAACGATTCAAACAAAGGGTAAGATTTCACTTTGATCTTTTGTTGTATATTATTTTCTTTTATTTAAAAATCCTGCAATAATGAGCACGTGTTAAAAAAGCAGAATTTTATTGTACATTTGAATGGAATATTATAAAAAATATAATATAAATATTCAATTACAGAACACGTTCTTATTATTACAGGCATATTGTACAGTTAATTCGTTCGATACTACCGTTTTTTGTGTAAAGTTTTCTTTAATCATGCAGCTGGCCAATATCAATTTACGGATGTATTACCCGGTCATTACGAAGTACTAATAGACAACGATGTTTTTTGTTGGACGAATCCTAGTTACAGAATTTCTGTGACTTCAGAACGATCCGAATTGCCGCCATTTGAACAAACTGGATTTTCTATTACTTTTATTTCTTCTCACGATACTATAGTTGAATATTCGAAATCAAACGAATTGAAAAAATTAACATTAGTATTGAATAAAGGAAGTACAAAGCATTGTGTGTCCGAACCTGGAATGTATACATTTATACCAAAAAGTTGTCATGTTTATGAAAAATTATCTTATACATGGGATACCAGTACTATTTCTCCTATTTTGTTACATTCGACAGAACACAGTCATATAGGAAGCATTATGAGTCATTCTGCGTTGAATGAAGTTAAAGTAAAAATTGAAAATGCAGATGATGTTATAATGTAAGTAACGCGCATTATAATTTAATATATCTTAGAAATATAAATTAATGTTAACGTTTTCATCGTTTTTATTAATTTAGACTTGGCCCATTGAATTGGACGCGCCATGAAAATCTGTACAAATATAAATTCGAATTTAAAGCAAAGACAGATAACATTTATACTATAACACCATTATCAAATGTTCTTCTATTTAGTCCAGCATCATTGAAAGTATTGGGTGTGAACGATTGTCAAGATGACGTTGCAATTTTTGTTGGTGATTTAGGAAAAGTATGTATCATAAAAATTATTTAAATATATTGAAAATTCATTCATTGAAAGTCAAATTGAAAAAATTATTTGTCATTTAATTTATTAATATATTAAAATCTTTTTGTGTATTGTATAGATAATTGCTGGTAAAATCAATCCACCTTTGGAAGGAGTTACCGTACAAATATTTGATAGCGATAAAACTATACCAATACACACGCTTATCACTCAAAAAGATGGAACATACAATATTGGTCCTTTGGATGGAAAAATAGAATACAAGTATATACATATGCTTTCTTTCTTTTCTTCTTTTTTCAAAAAATATTTATTTCTTTTTTTTTAAATTACATACTTTTATAAATTATTCTTTTTTTCTCTCTTTAGCGTTACTGCACAAAAAGAAGGATTTGTAATCACGGGACCCGATTCGAACGGTGTATTTACAGCTCACAAATTGGCTGAAATTATTGTACAAGTATCAGACCAAGCTGACAATATTTCTCTCCAGGTGCATATAAATAAATAAAAATCAAAGATTATAATTATATATAGAAGTAAATGAAATTGAATTATCATATTCACTAGGGTGTACTATTATCATTATCTGGTGGACAAAGTTATCGAAAAAACAGCATTACTGGCGAGGATGGAAAATTAATCTTCAATTCTTTATCCCCTGGCGAATACTATTTAAGACCAATGATGAAGGAATATCGTTTCGATCCTCCATCGAAAATGATCAAAGTTGTTGAAGGTGCTACGATAAAAGTGAATTTATTCGGAAAAAGAGTCGCATTTAGTGCATACGGTTCCGTGACATCTCTAAACGGTGAACCTGAAACCGGCCTGCTGGTTGAAGTTCAGGGCCAAGAAAATTGCGAACATCTTCAAGAAGAAGCGACCACGGAAGAAAACGGTAGCTTCCGAATCCGTGGCCTTCAACCAACGGTGAGACATCTTTTTCCTTTCTTTTTTTTTCGTATTTTATCTAAGCTCATTTATTTAAAATTATTTAAAAAAATTAAAAATTGTTTGTTCTTTCATATAGTGTACCTATGTATTCCGTCTGAAACCGAACGCTGAAGTTAATGCGCATATTCAACGAACAAGTCCTAACTCGACATTAGTGCAAACATCATCCGACATTCGAAATCTTCGATTGGTTGCGTTTCATCCGATATCGCGTACCGATGTCTCAGTACATATTATGTCCGCACAACCGGAGCACTATCGTACATTGAAGGTAAAATTATGCAGAGAAGATGCACCGGACTCTCCAATATACACATCAAAATTAGAATCTCAGCATGTGAATAAAGTTGGGAGCGCTTACAATGCCGGTTTTCTCGTGCATTTGCCTCCCCTACAGGCGGATGGTAAAAAGTACTTCGTACAATTAGAATCGTCTCTGTCTCATACGTTACACAAATATAGAACTATACCATTTTATTTCGAGGCAAACTCGTCGTTTAAATACGTAAAATTGACGTTTAACGCAGAACGAAAAGTCGATCAAAGCGATATGAATCAGACATCAATAGTTGCGTTACCTTTTATCATGTTTATCACGTTTGCATTCTTCAATCGTGAAAAACTTTGGTTATGGTTGAACACTATGATTGAAAGGTGGTCGAAACCTGTGCCGATCTCGAGAACACCGGTACAAGCTGTTCCTATCGATCCACGAGCAGACGACATTATAGTCGAACAAATAATGAACATAAATAAAAGGAAAACGAAACCGCGTAAAACGTAGCGTTAAGAATTGTTAGCGATATAGTCACAGTGATTAGAAACTTAATTGATCTCGTTGTGTTTCACTGTATACTGTGTATACTATATGAACGAAGAAATTTAGCGAATACTATTTTATCCGAATATATTTTGCCGTGCGTGAACGGTTTTCAAGACAAAACGTTGGTCGATATGTTTCTAACGTATATTTCACATTTTCATAAATAATTATATTTTTATGAAATATGGATTTCCAACATAAATTTATCTTATAATAACGATAGTAATGATCCACGATCTGTATTTCTGGTGATCACGGAGCAATAAATGCCTAGAAAACAGAAAATGAAAAAAATATTCTTTTCATTAAAAAGAATTTTCGTAATTTTGATATTACATTCCTAAATAATGTATTCTATTTAACTTACTATGGGATTGACTTCGAACATACATTTCATAAACATAAAAGATTTTTCGCATTTATCATCTGAATCTAAAAATAAAAAAAAGAAAAATTCAATTAGATTCGAAATTCAAATAAATTATCAAAACAATAAATTTATATTATAAATATATAAATTTGGGAGAGCATTAAAAATAAAAAATTCACGATTCTTTGGAATACTTACCGATACTGCTGCAAGAATCAATCATTTCTTTACCTATTTCTTTAAACGCTTCTGGAATTATTTTTTTTAGTAAATCATATTTTATCTTTCCATTTTTCTTATCCATCTGTACTATACAAAACATATATATATATATTTATATATATATAAAATAATATAATATAATAATATAAGTAACGAATCTTACCACATTAAACTTTTCAAATACGCAATTGAAGTAACATTTCAATTTCTCGTCTTCAGGAAATTCTCCGTATTCCGTAGCTTCGACAACCTCTGGAAAAGTATATCATTGTTAGATTTTAGCAATCAAATTAAAAAATTTCACCGATTATATGTTGTCACTTACCAATTGTCGTTTTAGTCTCACCGATACATTTTTTCCTGAATTTTGATGTCATTTCTCTAAATTCGTCGATATCGCTCTTAATTGTTAAAAAATTTCGGTTATTTTGAAGAAAAGATTATAAAATATGTATTTTAATACTTACAATTCCTCCATAAACAAGAGCGATTTGCAATATCAGATAGTACAATGATACCAGCCAAATTTCCGCTGCTCTCATTTTCTCAACGATTCGTTGCAGTTGATAGAAAAATAAAAAAGTCGATTCTTTATGTACTAAAAAATAGTAGTGAACTGTTTTCCTGGGAAACGAATTCGTAGCATTTATAAGTGTTCACTTTTTGCCCAAACGGGAAGTGATAATTGGTCGCCATAATTTTCAAATTGTATGTATCAATTCAAAAACACGAATCAAATCTTGCTTATCTAATGAATATGCAAACGTTTCTTCTTGATCGAGAACATTTATTTAATAATACGGTATAACAGCCAAAGAAAAACTTAAACTTTGACAGAAGTACAAAATTTAGCGTTAATACAAGGTATCAATTTATAACAAAGGGTAATTATCAAACACGAAGCTTGAGAATGAAATACAATGTAATTGCAAAACGTTTAATTAGTATCCAGAACTTATGTATTTGAACATCTTGGAAATGACATTAATTAAAACGTGTTTCCTTCTATCCGATGAATACATAACAATTAAAAATGGATGGTCGAACTTTTCATTTTTTATATATAAAAAAGAAAGCGTTGTTTAATCAATCACGTTGTTACGTGGATATTGTAAAATTTGTTGGTTTTTGATTTAAAAAAATTTCTATTGTTATATTGTATTACTACAATGTATTATATTATTCAAACGAAATTTATCTCGTTATTAAATCATTCCTTTCTATCGTGCACGCTTAATCATGACCTCAATTGACAATTGGACCGACCAAGCATCGGAAATTACGATCAACTGGATAGTTTAAACGGTTACTCCAGTTTTGTAGTATCAACATTTTCGAAATATCTTTAAAACGAATAAAACATAAAAGATACATATCTTAAAATGTCGATATAGGAAACAGTAAGACAAATAACATAGATGATCTCGAATTTTTTTTTTCCTTTTTTTTCTTTTTTTTTTTTTATTAACTTCTTTCCCGTACAGAGAGTCGTCGTCTACATTCAAACGGTGTATCCGTTTTATGATAAAACGAATCAAGATTCTACCTTTCGATTCGTCCTACAGTCATCATAAGCATCGTTTTCCTTTGATCTTGTTTTTTTTTTTGGCTCAGATGAAACTCAATTAAAATAGATAATACGTCTGGAATATAGAAAAAGAGATCATCATTTGAAATAATCGTAAAAAAAAAAATATTTTCGTCGAATAAAAATTATTAGATACTCACCCGTGGAGACAATTCCGCGTAACATTTGTTAAATCTGTATGCGTATTCGCAATTGTCGCCCTTAGCTAAATGAAACGATTGAAATAACGATCAAAATTTTGTCTGGTTCGATTAATCGATTAATCGAAATAAAATAGGAAATAAATAACAAACTTCACGTGAAGAAATAAAAATTTTACGGAAAAAGAGAAACGAAGGATTTATGGAAGAAAAGAAACAAAAGATAAGTTTCGAAAGCGTTCGATTATCGTTAAAACGAAGAATATACAAAATATAATATATAGATACCCAAATATTTACCGATCCCCTTGCACTCGCTGATCGCTTTCTGAACTTCAGCCCTGTATGCTGGTATTCTTTGGAAAAATGTGAGCATGCCGTTCAAACTGAGCTCTCTCTTGTCATCCACTAATCCGAATTGTTCCCATAAACAATACATGTAACACTGTAAAATAAAAAGAACGCTTTTTTCCCTCGTTTAATAAGTCGTGAGATTATAGCTACAAATTGACTCGTGAGATTTATTATGCATTATTACCTTTAATTGACGTGTTTCAGGCCATTGACCATTCCTTACTGCCTCTATATCCACTAAAATAAAAAAAAATAAAAAAATACAACAATAAAAAAAATGAAAATGAATCGATCGAGTAAAATTTGTCACGAATCAAAAATCTTACCTGTTGCCACTCCTGTCTGTGTCTGGCAAGCATTCACTACGCTAGCTGCTGTTGCGATCATCTCGTCAGAGACAAAACTCGGTCGTGTCTATGAAACATTTTTTTTTTTTTTTTTAGAAGAAATAATATAATATCAATAATATAATAATAATGCAAAATATGCTTTTCTTTTTCTTTCTCTTTTTATGTTAATTTATTATCGAGTTTTTTTCTTCTTTTATAAATATTCACATAAATATATTCTTAGCCAAAGCGCGATACGCGCACAATTGCAACCGCGCGATCATCATTTTTGTTTTTTTTTTTTTCGAATTTTCAGAAAAAATCAAAAATCAAAAATCAAAATTTTAAACAAACAGCAATAAATTGTTTGCAAAAAGAAAATAATTAAATATGAAACGAAGTTGTGTATACTTTTAAAGATTATGATACGAACCCCACAATGAACAATTGGTGACCAAATCAAGCAAGTGATTAATAAGCTCAACAATATTGAATATTTCATGATTTCTATTTAATATTGAAATGACACAAATTGGAAAGAACGATTAATGATCTCCAATCGAAGTTGAATTAGATAATGTGGTCCGGCCGAGGTCCGGAGAACGAAAAATGTTCAGTAGAACGTATAATCGTCACGAACGATGGTGTGAGCAAGCTCGAGGGCGCGACTAAACGTGTATCCGCTCAACGACTCTTCTCTGATAAAAGAGATCTCTTAACTGCTGACCTCACGCACCGCACCCGCTTCTGACCGAATAAAATTTCCCACCTTTGATATGTTATTTAGTTCATCAATCACTTATTTTATCGATAGATCATATTTCAAGTTAATTCGTATTAATTGATTGCAACTATTCATTTTGATCCAGTAATTAAAATATCTCTTAAGTTAAAAGGAACGGGTGAACGAACCTTTCGATTCTACATATATAGGACAGGGTGTACACATAAATGCAGATTTGATTGGCGGATATTACCATTTTGCGATCTGACCCTATGTATATTATTATCTATGTATATCTTACCTTCTACACATTCAACCGATTCAAATGCCTCGTTTCGTTCCTATTCATTCATTGTTTACAAATTGCAAAAGAATCACTATATTTGTCGAATCAACTTTATCAAACATTATTTATGAAAAATGAAAATATATTCATTGTTATTTATAAAATTGTCCTTTTTAATTGTTAATTAAAATTTTCTTTTAAAATTTTATTTTTAAATCTATTTATAGGAAAGGAATTAAATTATGTTATTAATAATTAAAAAATTATATATTATTTATTTAAAATTATCATTTTTTTCATTCATTCAACACGAAAAAAGAGATTTTCTGAAAAATTCGCGCCGAAATACAAATCAGTATGTCCATAACCGCGTGTTGACAAGCAAGGAAGGTAATTTGTGGGTCAATACAATTCCAGCGAAGATAGGCGAATATACCCGAACAAATCCTGAATAACTTCGTCTCAAAGTACAGTCGTCTTTTAAAATTATTGACCATTGTTCACATTATATTACAATTGATATTATTTTCCAAGTATTGAGACAATAGTATCATTTGACAAAATTTGACAAAACAATGTAATTGTTTATTCAATATCCGACCAAATGTCGTATTTATTATGTACTTAATTTTCTCATTTGACATAACCTTTTTAATGTCATATTTTTCCCGCTGTATAGTCAGCTGATTGATAATTGAATATAAGAAAATATATATATTCTTTTTTTGAAATAAAATTTGGTTAAATTTGAAAAAAAATATTATAACAAATACTTAATTGCTTTGAAATTTTTAAAGCAAATGAAATTTTAATTTTCTTTACATAAAATGATTTCGATGGACTGTACAATTGATGACATAGTACAGTCTGACCGAATTAATATTGACGATTCTGTCACATGTGTGTCACAGCAGTTTTTAAATTGAAAGTATTTCAAAATTTAAATATGAATCATTACAACTTTTCTATGCTGTATTTTCAATATTTCTACAAGAAAGAGAAATTCTTGTGCAGCAATGCTTTGATGAATTTAGAATCACGAAAGACAAAACAAGGACAAACGAATCTCGACAGACTGTACAGCTGAACTTGTATTGACCGCAGCGTTTTCTTCGAGCGATTGCATTTCGCCCAAAACAAGATATACAACAGATATTAAAAGTGAAAATATAAAGTGTGCTCAATGTTCTGCAATGTTGAACATATAATCTCAACTGGAAGAAGATAATCAAGGTAAATTTATTGAATGAATAGAGTTCATTGAACGTTCCAATTGCATTCCATCGACGCCAAGATTTCGATTCGTTTCTAGCACAATACGATGTCGAAGACAAGAAAGAAACAATACTTTTTGAAACGCGTTCGTAGCAGAACTTTAATCACAAAATAGAATGATACGGTGGAAGTTTTTGAAATTTAAAGATCGCGCGACAAAGGAAAAAGATTGTAGAAACTTAATTAAAATTTCGAAAAACTTTATGATCGAGCACTGCCATTGTCACGTGATCCCCGTTATTCTTACGTCACATTTCGCGTAAAATTTAAAATTTTTTTCAACATTCGTATCATTTGTCGCCTTTAAAAATTTTGAATAAAATGGGAAAAACAAGAGGAGTGCACGAAACAACACCAGAATTAAGAAATCGAATGGTAGGAATGTATGAAGCTGGTTTAGGATTGCGAGAAATTGCAGCCGCTGTAAATTGTTCAGTAAGTATTTTACAAAATTAAATATTGAA